GCAACTGGCCGAGAGGACAATCACGGTCCCAGCCATCATAGACTCAGGTGCTTGCAGCTGCTTCATGGACGCTCCTTTTGCTGCTCAAAATCTGATCCCGCTCCGCACCAAGGCACAAAGGCTTGCAGTTCATTTGGCAGATGGGTCTGGTATCAGTTCCGGCCCAGTAACACAGGAAACTATACCAATCTTCTGTTGCTCTTTGTCTGGACACCAGGAATTCTTACGCCTAGACATCATTACCTCTCCGATGTTTCCAGTTATTCTTGGCATGCCTTGGCTAAAAGCACATAATCAAACCATTAATTGGTTGTCTGGAGAGGTCTCCTTCCCCTCCGAATATTGCCTGATCCATTGTACCCCAAAAGGGGCAAGAATGACAACCCCTCTCCTCAGTATCCACTTGGAGCCGGAGACCATGAAACTCATTCCGGTGGCATATCATGAGTACTTGGATGTGTTCAATAAGAAGAGTGCCAACACCCTTCCTCCTCACCATCCTTATGACTGTCCAGTTGTGCTCCTGCCCGGCACCGTGATTCCATTCGGGAGGATTTACCCCTTGTCTGAAGTTGAATTAGAGACCCTCCGGGGGTACATAGATGAAAGTTTAGAAAAAGGGTTCATTCGGCCCTCTACATCACCATCACCAGCAGGACCCGGTATCTTCTTTGTTGAAAAAAAGGACCACACCCTGAGACCCTGTGTAGACTACCGAGATTTAAACAAAATACCAGTCAAGAACCGTTATCCCCTGCCGCTAATCCCTGAACTATTCCAAAGGCTGCGAGGAGCACGCTTTTTCTCCAAGTTGGACCTGAAGGGAGCTTACAACTTAGTAAGAATCCGGGAAGGTGACGAATGGAAGACGGCCTTCCGAACCCGATTCTGGCACTTTGAATATCTAGTGATGCCTTTTGGGCTCTGTAATGCCCCCGCAACTTTCCAGCACCTAGTAAATGATAAATTTTGGAATACCTAGATCTACTCCTAATCGTTTACCTGGACGACATCCTGGTATTCTCTAGTTCCATGGAAAATCACCGGGAGCATGTAAAAAAAACTCTGAATCGTCTACGCCAGCATCATCTCTATGCAAAGGCAGAGAAGTGTGAATTCGAGAGACAATCCATCCAGTTTCTCGGTCTTGTGATCACTCCTGAGGGCATCTCTATGGACCCCCAAAAGGTCTCCGCTGTCTTAGAATGGCCCATCCCAGAGAACAGGAAAGCAGTGCAACGCTTTGTTGGATTTGCTAAACTTTATAGAAAATTCATCAAGAATTTCTCGGGAATCATCGCGCCGGCGACACAGCTCACCAGGCAGCATGTTCCCTTCAAGTGGACTCCTAAGGCTCAAACAGCCTTTGAACAACTGAAAACCATGTTCACATCCGCACTCATCCTGAAGCACCCAGACCCTATTTTAGCCTTCGTCCTTGAGGTGGACGCATCTGAAAATGCGGTAGGTGCCATATTTTGGCAAAGACAGGGGCTCAAATCCCTTCTGCACCCCATCGCTTTTTTCTCCCGGAAATTGAGTATCTCAGAAAGGAACTATGATGTGGGGGACAGAGAGCTATTAGCCATCAAGGCAGCATTGGAAGAGTGGCATTACCTACTAGAAGGCACATCCCATCCTATTCTTATCTATACCGACCATAAGAACTTGGAGTATCTGAAAAAGGCTAAGCGCCTCAGACCACGACAAGCAAGATGGGCACTATTCTTTACTCACTTCGTTTTCCATCTGACGTACCATCCGGGATCTAAAATTGCAAACCTGATGCTCTGTCCCGTATGTTTCCCGACCCAATTGTGCAGCCTGAACCCGATACGATCTTACCTGCCAAAAACTTCTTACTCCTTCAGTCAGCTGCAGCGCATTAATCTGCGCATGCACAGGATTCCGACAAGACATACAGGCAGGCGGGCACTAGGACCCAGGCGCACCTGTCACCGATGACGGCACCCGGCAGGCACTAGGCCCCAGTCGTGCCTGTCGGCACTGGGCGGGCTATTTAAAGAGCACCTCAGTGGTGATTCAGTGCTGGCTGGTCTTTCAGCTCCCTCCCGTGTCCTGCTAGTTCCTGACGTTCCCTTTATTGCTGACCCGGCTTGTTCCTGACCCGACTCTGATTGCTGTCCTGCTTCTGGTTCCTGACTTTGGCTCTGCTCCTGACCTTGGCTTTCTCTTCTGATTCGATACTGCGCTGCCTGACTGTTTATGACCCTGGCTTGTCTGACCCTGCTCCAGTCCTGTTTTTGGCTACCTACCTTGCTCTGCTGCACATCCAGACGAGCACCGCTTTCAGTGGAGACTGTAGACTGCACCTGCCTACATGCTAGTCAAGGATACTGACCTTCTCATCCAACATTAGTATCTGATCTGAAAAATGCTCTTTTGGCTGAACAGGCACAAATTTCAGACATACCCCAAAATCTTAATAAAGTAGTATTAAACCCTCATTCTAAAAGAAAGTTCTTTATTTACCTGCATGTCATATGTTTATAAACACACTATTTTTAGTGTACTCCATATCTAAAAGTTTATATTAACTTTCTTATAAGAACACACCTATGTCTTCCAAACATAGTGCTTCCCCCAACTTCTGGTTGGGCAATGAGCACCATCTCTCTTCTCCATGCCTGCCAGTAGGCCTATATGTCCCACCAGCACTTGCACAAGCATTGGCAATGCACTTACACTTTGCTGAGTTGTCCATTCATGACAGGTGGTCAGATCACTGATCCTATACAGCTCCCACTTCTCTGCGCCATCTGTGCATGTCGGCACACAGGGTGGCTGAGCATACCCATGTAGACCTTGTTGGGGAGGGGGTGCAACCAGCAGCAGCTCCATTAGGACAGCACTTGTAGTATGATTTACCACAATAATGGCAAAAGAATAAATGATCCTGGGCTGAATTGAGGGGACTGAAACCAGCATGGATCATCAAACAAGCTAGATGAATGTGTTGCCATATTATGCTACTTTTAAACACTAGGGTTTAATAACACTTTAAAGCTGAACTTAGGGCACCAAACCTTAATTCAATAGTATTCCTCAATAGACACAAAAGAATATGAATTCACTTTGTGAGCACCAAATATGTTTGTAAGCCTAGATATTACCTTGTAAATGTGGTGACTTCATCATTGTGCTGTACATTTCCTGTGCTGAGAGCAGAGCTGTAGGATGGGTTCAGCAAGCTCCACCCACTACAAGTTGCCTGCAGATAACTACAGCAGGGGCAGAGACAAGACCAGTCACCCTACACAAGGAGAGACATCAGCAGTGACCGGTCCATATTACAAGAAGCTGCACTGAGGCAAAGTCACACAATGGATTACTACACAGATCTGGAAGAAATACACAAAGTACACCAAGATCCAAGGAAGAATACACATAACTCTTGTATTTAGGCAATATTTACTGATCCTGGAGATCAGCTTTAATGTCAGATATACCTGTTGCTGCTGACAGTTTCACTGTCTAGTTATAGGGTGACAATGCTGTAATCAATCCATTCTTTTTCCCACAGCTTTGTCACTCTTCGGAGTACCTGTTGCTGTACTGTAAGCCACATGGTGAGGTAGCCTCTTCCCCTACTGTTGTCAACCATGGCCACTCTCATATAGGCACCTTACATCCAGGACCCCCTGGCTGATTGACAGCTGCTCTATCCTTCAGTATACCATCAGGAAGGTGTTAACGAGGGCATTAGTCACACCTACAGCAGCAGTAGTGGAGCAAGAGCTGGAGGGACTTGTGACATCAGTAGAATAGAGACATCGCTAATGATACTCTGCCAACATTCCTTGTCCAACACATTACAATTACAATTTATTTTTGTCTTCACAAATATTCCAAATAAAATCAGTAATACAAGACTTGACTGATGATTGCTGTTCAACTGCCGTTCACCTTTAACAGCTTCCCTACCGCCCTATAGCAGAACTACTGTTTACTAACTTTTCTAACTGCTATGCAGAGCAATACAAAGCAGCATGCTGGTACCGAGAGGGGAGAGATCTGTATTTTTTTCATACAGACCTCCCCCTTTTAAGTGTTCCTTGGCGATCGCCAGATGGCGGCGGAGAATCTCTGTCCGGGACCCGGTGATCAACAGCAGTAGCCACCAATAGTGGCGCAAAAATCACATATATATATACATATTTGATCTGGCATTTCCGGGTAGGGGGCGCGCGCATGCCACCCTATCCACGCCACTATTGGCGGCTACCGCTGTTGATCACCGGGTCCCGGACGGAGATTCTCCGCCGCCATCCGGCATTCACCAAGGAACACTGATAGGGGAGAGGTCCTCATCAATGCCCACCAGTGCGGCTTCATCAGTGATACCTATCAGTGCAGCCTCATCAGTGCTGCCTATCAGTGCAGCCTTATCAATGCACATCTGTGAAGGAGAAAAAGTACCTGTTTGCAAAATTTTATAATAGAAACAAAGAAAACCTTCTTTTTTTCAAATGTTTTGCGTTTTTTCATTTACAGTGCAAAAAATAAAAACCCCAGTGGCTATTAAATAGCACCAAAAGAAAGCTCTATTTGTGTGAAAAAAAATTATAAAAATTTCATATGGGTACAATGTTGCATGACCGCGCAATTGTCATTCAAAGTGCAACAGCGCTGAAAGCTGAAAACTGGCCTGGGCAGGAAGGGGGTAAAAGTGCCCTGTAGGCAAGTGGTTAAGGTTGAACTCCAAGCAGATACAAAACACACCAATCAATGCAAGCTCATTCATTACTGTGTAATAAAAAGGTATCTTCTGCAAGTATTGCATGTAGTGTAAGCACTAGGGGCGGACTGACAACTCATGGGGCCCCCAGGCAATAGAGGATCATGGGGCCCCTGTGTCCTTGCCCAAACTAAAAAAAGCCTATGAAAAAGGTACCAGGGGCATCTCATGGGGCCCACTACTGACCCCGGGCCCTCGGGCAGTGCCTGAGTTTCCAAATGGTCAGTCCGCCCCTGGTAAGCACCTAAATTTGACTTAGTACTAGCCTCTTGCAATCCTTGTACAGCAGAGCTTAGACCAGAAGAGGAAGAAGCAGCACAAGAAGCCACTGTCCAATCGCAGGCTGAGGGAGGGACAAGACCTGTAATGTTATTGACCTGCAGAAGAGATAAATCTGCTGTCCTGCCCTGCCACATGGACCTGTGCTGTGCTGCAGAGTTGTGTAAATCTCAGAAATGGATGGACAGAAATATAAATCCTTTGGCAGGTTAAGCTGCTTCTTTTTATTTATCTCAGCTTTTACTAAATGAGTTGCAGATATAAAAATACAGATCTACGATATTGAAATAAAAGCCATTAGACTTTACAAATGAAGACAGCACAGATAAGTATGGATGTTTTCCTTCTGGGTGCGGGTCGGTGCCTGTGTGCATAACAGAGAAAGCTGCAGATGTGACAACATGTGTAGGAGCTGAAACTTTTCCATTTGTAAGACATCATGGTTCTTGGCATCTGATTGACCTCAAATGCATCTCCTGAAATTTCCTGTCAGCCCCAGACAGATGGCTTCACAGCATGAATTGTACACAAAGAAAGTGAGCGGAACAGAGGGAATTTTACCCATCCTATTAACTTGTGCAACATCCACTGGGCCATGCAGAGAGTTACTGCCATAAATCCACTCATAAATATGTATAGAAATGTCATTTAATAATATAATAATGTGGGGGTTAATGGATGTAAAGGATAAGTTCTTTTGAAAACAAAGTGCACACATATTTTTGCCCTATCCCCTGATCTAACCTAAGCCACCCACCCTGTGCACAGATGTATACTTACCTGCGACTGATGGCCATAGTTCAGCCTTTTATTTACAACCCACACTGCCAGGGCTGCTGTTAGAAACCACAGTGCCCCATACAGTCAACCTGACAGCCACCCCCGAAAAAAACCCACAGTTTACTATGCTTCAGTTATGAATAAACAAAGTGAGTGATCAGTACTGATCACCCATTGTGTTCATTCAGGAAATGAAGGGGCTGGTAAATGTGACATAATACCGGATTCTTCCTCCATTCTCCATCCTGAAGGATCCTATTGTGTGCTTGCCACTGCAGATAGGAAAGAGAGGAGGGAATCCGGCAGCACTGCAGGGGTGGGGGCACACGGGGGGGCTGGGCAGCAAGGGGAAATATATTGTGCACAGGAAGGATGATGGGTACACCGGGAAGCAATTACTGGAACCGATTCCCTCTATAGCTCTCTCTGCAGCAGCTGAAAGCCAGCGGGAGGGAGAGGAGAAGAAGCCAGATTTCAGCTGCTGCAAAGAGAGCCATACAGGAGATCTGTTTCAGTAACTGCGACCCTGCCGTGCTGATCACCCCCCTTGCCCACATCTGATTCACTCAGCTACCTGGGCCCCACTGCTGGCCTGGGCCCCGTTAGCGCTCCACAAACCGGAATTCCCCAAGGCGCGGAATCTAAGCCCCGACCTGCTTGTTCACCAGGGCCCCTGATGGTGGGGATGGACTTGGAGCTGGCCAAAACCAGGTCGCGGCCCCTGGGTGCACCCAGCTGTGGTAGGGGCACTTGCCGGAGGTGTATAGCAGGTGAGAGCCTGATGTAAGGAGGTAGAGAGCAGAGTCGGACAGGCCGGGTCGGTAGCGGTGGAGGCAGAATGGTACGAGCGGTAGGCAGAAGGATAAACTGGTCACAAGCCGGGTTCGGTAACAGGAGATCAAACGTGCAGGATTAGACAGGAGAATTGTCAGACAAGCCAGGGATCAGAGCAGGAGACAGTCAGCGAATCAAGGTCAGGCATGGTCGGCAACAAGGCAATCGCAGGAAACACAGGATACAGGTAAAGATAATACTACAACTAGAGCACAGACCTGACCTGTTTAAATAGGGCACCCTGCGCCCTCATTGGTGCCAGGCGTGCGTCCGCGATCGCGAGTGCGCATGTGCGACTGCCGCTGCCGTCGCGGGTGCTCAGGTCCTAATGCACGCTAGTGCGCCCCCGGCATACCTCGCATGTGCAGACCCGTGCGCCCGCGGTAAGGTCTGGGGTCCCTGACACCCTACAGGAGGACTGGTGGTACCCCCTTATCCACAGCCCTGGCCTTGCCTAATGCCTATTCATTACAGCCCCAACGACTTCATTGGGGCCACCCCTAGTCTCAGGAATTTATGGGTCACTAATGTGCAGGTGTGTCCAGGACAGTGAAGACTTGCAGTACTTTATTTTAAAGTGAACTTATCCTTTAAGCCTATTAACCCAACACCACATACAGCTTATATGATATTAGGTACATGTATTGCATTTTACTAACAACTTACAAAACCATCCACAAGTCTGCCCTGAGTTATATTACCAACCTCATCTCAAAATATTCCCCAAACTGTCCTCTCCGCTTTTAGGCAGGTGCAGGTACTCCTCTGGCCTCTAGGCAGCACCGTACCATTACAGGGTACGAGGAGTCTATAAGGGAGGTTTGCCCCTTTAGAGACTCCGTTATTCCTCCCTAGAGAGGTAAAATTTGGATGGAGGAGAATGGAGGATAGTATCATAGGCACCACATCCCAACTGTACCTAAAAGCACAAAAACAAAAGTCAAAACCTGAATTTTAAGGTGTCACAAATGTAATAACTTTTTAAAATTTTAACATTTTATTAGATTTCCATAAAATCACATTAAAACCAATATCCTTGCAATTTCCCTATAAATGGTACAGTTCCTCAACACATCTTCATTTGTGACTGCACTTTAAGGTGTCAGGTTAAAGTTTAAGCAAGTTACAGCATTTATTTTGTGGCTTAAAAGTTCCATTTTGGCTTTTGATTTTCTCTCTAAGGAGGTAGGCATCTTATTTGATGCAGAGAGTTGAGGCAGCCATCTTAACATGGGAACCTTTAAATACCCCACAATATTTGGGTGCCCTTTAAGGGAGTGGCAGGTTAGGGAAAGGAACCCACTGGATAGGGATAGTGGTTAGCTCAGGGAAAGATTCCTGACAAGAAGAGACAAGGTGAGGGACACGTTGGGAATTGCAGAACCTTTGGAAATCTCTTCAATGGTGAGTGCAGTGGGAATTTTCCTGTTCCATCACCCCTCCAGTAGAAGCCATCGTTTGGTAACATATTTCTCAAATTTGTTATAGAGCTGCGATAAACTGTTCCTTTTAAGTGCCTTGAACTGCGTGTGCTTCTACTCCATTGCTAACCATGCCTATAGAAGTTTTAGCTAACAGGAGCTGTTGTGTGACTTGGAGTCTTCCCAAATGGGTTCTTGCACAGAGGCCCCTGCCTACATGCTCCTCCCAAGACCTTCTGATGCAACAAAGGATGAAAAAAATGAAAAACAAGTATTTTATCATTTAAAATAGGCAACTGTTGATGATACACAGTATTTTGCAAACTAAATATCATTCAGTTAGAATTTAGATCGACTTACAAGCAAAAAATAAATACATAAATATTTTGTACATCTCTGCAATACATGCACAATTCATTTTATCCCTTTGAAGATTCTGCAAGTACAGAAAATGCTTATTTATTCAATGGTTGTTCAAAATGCAATATTGTGGGACACATGATTGATGGTTAATATACATTGTGGGACATATTTGTTTAATTAAAGTTGTCAAATATTGTGTATTGTATGTGTGTTCTTATTTACACTTTCTTTTTTTCGTGTGTGTGAATGAGTAGGGGTACTATTTATCCCTTACTCAATCACATGGGTGGGCAGTATCTAAGTGCCCCCTGATTGTTAAAGGAGGCTTCCGGGTTCCGATTAGCCCCTAGTCCGGGTTCCGATTAGCCCCTAGTCCGGGTTCCGATTAGCCCCTTGTCCATGGATCCCCACAACCACCAGATCCTCATCAACATGGGGACAAGGTGCTTTTCCAGGGAGTGACCTGGTCTGGTCCAGGAGGAGAAGGGAACGCACACTTATCCTTCCCTTTCCTGGTTGACCAAGCTGCATGCTCAGATTGGGGAAAACTGTTTTTCTTGTTTTTTGCATGCTGTTCCCCCTTAAAATCCATACCAAACCGAAGGGCCTGGTTTAAAATGTAGAGGGGAACCTCATACATTTTTTGCTTTTTGTGTTTTTTTTTTTTTTGCCTTCGGTCCCCCTTACAATTCATACCAAACCTGAAGGGCCTGGTATGAATTATGTGGGAACTCCCATACCTTTCTTTTACAACTATCCCAGCTCAGTTGCTTACTTGGCAATTCACAGGGATTCCTGGCCATGTAAGTGAATAGGACCAGTGATTTCACTGTTGTTTAAGGACATGGCAGTATTTGCACCCACCAGCACCCTTAACAATCATTGACAGGAAAAAGCTGTAATGTATACAACTATTACACACAGCATTTAGCTCCCCTCTGAATGGGCTAATGATCTGGTGTTCTTGCAAATGCTCAAACAGCCAAGGTTTGGTCTAAACTTGTGTTCAGACCAAACCTTAAACTCTATCCTACTCTATAATATGTAATATAAAATGCACCTAAAATTGTACAAAATGTTTGCTGCAATAGACCTAACCTGGTGCATATAGCTTAGCCTTAAATAATGATGTCATAACTAAGAAATATCATATATTTTACCTTCCAACATTGCATAACATTGAACTCAAATGCAACAGATATTGATCCTTCCCAAACCACTACTAATATATGTATTTTGCATTAACAATTAACATATAGAGATTAACAGCTCTTATTAGCACTATTCATACACAGTATCAAGTCGATGTAATGACATCCCAACCGTAGGTATGCAACCATGGTAATATGATAAGTAATTTGGAATTGCATATGAATTCAAGGTATAGCAATTTTTACATACAGTTTCAGTGATCCAGTTTGGCCCAATCTAGGTATCTATATTCATACCTGTGAAACCTGGAAGCTACTGGTGGCCTACTACATTGATTTCCAGCTTGCATGGGGATCCTACAGGTTTGGACCAATGTAACTAGGTAAAAAATATCCATACCTAAACTTCAGCTTTAACAACTAAAAGCCTCCCACTGTCCTCATCTAAAAAAAACATAGAGCAGGGTTTTTCAACCAGGTTTCTGTGGAACCCTCTGGTTCCTTA